TCCTGCTGACTGAGATTTAGGAAAAGGCAAATGATGTTTCCATCTTCAAAAAAGAATATCCCTAAGAGTTAGAACTCATTAGTTTAATATCAACAGCTAGAAAAATACTGTATCAAATGATCAAACTGCTTGCAAAGGGTATTAAATACCGTGAGGCAACCACTGCAGTTTTCTACTGAACAAATATTGTCAGATCCACGTAGTTCTTTTCATGAGTAACACAGTACAGAGATAAGGAGAAAATGATAACATAATGCCAAAAAGGTAGCTGTCACCAGAGGAATATATATATTATATACAGAAAATACACATAAATATCCTTATTTAGGTACGTGCACACGTGTATAAAGAGGGGGAAATTGATTCAGTATCACAAGGACTGCTCTTGCTTTCAACAAGTTATTTTATTCTATCTTATGTTATGGTCTCAGTTACAAACTGGGAAAGCATGATCTTGTTAGCGTACAAATGGTTTGAAAGTGACACCTAAAGGGCAGCCATTAATAGCCTTGGATTTCATGCCATTCAATACTCTCAGGATGATGAGCTAATGGAAGGAGCTGATTGTGTGCTCAGATACGCAGATGGCGCTAAACTAGGATGGTTATTAATAATCTGGAAGACAGATATAAAATTACAATTTACCATGACAATTTAAAAATATTGTTCCCTTAAAAACAATTAAAACCCAACAAAGAGTGGAGCTGCTATGCTTAAGCACAAAATACCAAAAATAAAAACGGAGAAGCCCCAGCCAAATGCAAACATGACACTGTGTTAAAAGAAGCAGAGCCTCTGCCGAGGGCTGGGGGCATCTTCTACCTGCACTGTTCAGAGAGCTCAGCCTGAGCATCACCTCCAATTCTAGTGACCACACTTTAAAATGGAGGAAGAGACACTAAAAAAAGTCTCAGAAGACAAATAAAAAACACAACAGGACGAAGAATGCAACGTGAAAAAATATTTTAAAATGTAGGAAGTTTAATGCAGAAAAGAGAAGGTAAGCTGAAGATCAGCAAGGCTTCCAGAACTATTTGTTGTGCACAGGGGGCAGGGCAGAGGCTACAGCCAGACCCTGGGAACAAGGACAGTTACCACGGAAGCTGAAAAGGCCCACCACACAGTCATGCTGGTCATCACAGGAAATGGGGGAGGAGACGTGTACCTCTGCTTGGGAAAGGTGTCAGAGAAGGGGTGACACTGCATAGTGAGGGGCCTGCTACACCGTAAGTGCTCTGTGAACAACAGTGTTACTAGTCTGACTGAAGCATGAGGTGAACTACAGCCACAGAGGAGCAGAGACTGAGGGATGAGGCTCCTAAGGGCTGAGGCAGCAGGACTCCATCAGAAGATACATGCAGTGAGAAAGCCTGCAGAGCACAAGGGGACCAGTGCCAGGAAGTGCAGTTAGTTACTGCAACAGTTTAAACAAGAACACAGCCTGGGCCAAGGTGGTAAGAAAAACAGGGCAGAGAATGGACTGGACAGGTTTCTCAGGCTCACACCTGACAAGGTCTGGAATTAGGGAACAGGAGAGCCAGGAGTCGAAGACCATCCTGAGGTTCCAAGCTTGGTAAACTAGGTGGATGTGACAGCATTAAACTAAATGGGGGGGCTTCCCTGGTGGTGCAGTGGTTAAGAATCCACCTGCCAATGCAAGGGACATGGGTTCCACCCCTGGCCTGGGAAGATCCCACATGCCGCGGAGCAACTAAGCCCGTGCGCCACAACTACTGAGCCTGCGCTCTAGAGCCCGTGAGCCACAACTATTGAGCCCATGTGCCACAACTACTGAAGCCCGTGCGCCTAGAGCCCACGCTCCGCAACAAGAGAAGCCACTGCAATGAGAAGCCCTCACACTGCAACGAAGAGTAGCCCCTGCTCGCCACAACTAGAGGAAGCCCGTGTGCAGCAATGAAGACCCAACACAGCCAAAAATAAAATAAAATAAATTACACACACAAAAAAAGAAATGGGAAGAGAATGAAGTAGCAGGTTTGAGGTGGGGGAGGGGTGCTCGTTGGGAAAGAGAAAGTTGAGTTTCAATCACAGTAAATTTGAGGTGTTCAAACATATTCGCCTGAAGATGCCTTTACAGCCCAGCTCTGGCCACTGGAAGCAGACAGAAGGCTGAGGAAGGTTAGACAGGAGGGAAAGACAGGTGCTGCGAGAACCAAGGGAGACTATTTTCAAAGAGGGGGTGATCAGAGGGGCCAGACACATAGAAAGACACTCATTACAGCTGTGACTGTGCAGAGGTAACTGGTCACAGAAATTCAGAAATCAGTGATGACGTCAGAGAGGGCACACTTAGTAAAATGGGGGGACGAAAGCAGACTGCAGAAAGTGGGGGGACAGGCAGGCAGGTCTGGGGCAAAACAGCAGGTTCAGATAGTTTCCATTTTCTTGTGCAGGTATGTTATACTGAGTCAGGTAACACATCAGTGGAGAAAAGGACATTTCTTGACAATAAGATCAAGCTAAAACCCGCAAATGGGTTGAAGGGAGTGTGTGGAATCCCCGCAGCCCTTCAGGAGAAGCATCAGCGCCCCCAGGAGCCTGGAGAGAGGCAGGCGTCTGACAAGACACGTCCTCAGCGCCGGGACCCTGTGCTGCGAACAGACAGGACTGCCACCTTCTAAACCAGCAGCAAACACCTTAAACCCACTGGGTGCGGCCCTCTTGAACACTCACTTTCTGGTGAGCTCTGCGACTCTCGCCCGATCCCTCTGCTGATGAGCTTGCACTTCCTCCGTGCGGATCCGCCTCTCCTCCAGGAGCCCCGCCACCTGCTCCTGCGAGAGCCTGCTCCGCTCCTCCAGCTGGGCCTGCAGCGCTTCCACCTGGACGGGCCAAAGGGGCGAGGCGTCCACTCCCGCCCTCCCCCACTCACTTCTCACCTCTAAGTGAGCCTTTCTCCAGAAAAATTTAAAAACAAAAACCCCACAAACAAAAGCACAGCAGCACAACAAACAGGAGAAAAATCTCAGCTGGACTCCTCTTCACTGTCTTACAAGTGGGCTTAGGCTACACAAGAACAGACTCTGTCCACACCAAGCAAAACACCTACATCACACCAGGAAAGCTGGAAAAGCCAGTCTCCCCTACCTGGGACTCTCATCTTCTCACCATCTCCCTTTCTGGACTTTTAGGACCGTCTCCCTTTTAAGACTTCCTAGTTGCACAGAGAGAGAATGACTCATTTCTTCATTGTTAAATTTAAAAAGTAGAGCAGAATGTGTATAATGTAATTTCCTTCTCTGAGTCTGGCCACCACAACCCCAAATGGAGCTACTGGCCAAAGGTAGAAACAGTCATTTAAATCAATACGCCCCCTAATAAGGACAGGAACTTGAGTGCAACTAGATGAAAAATCATGGTTGCAAGTGACATACAGAGACCAGGTGGTTAGAGGATGACTTGCTACTTTCCTAGACTTTAGAACACACGCACCAGACAAATGGACTCATCCCCGAAGGTCAGTGTATCGGGACAGACAACTGCAGCTCTGTGTGTCTCGGCCCCAGCTCCAGAGGGAGTTCTGACTGTGACGGCTTTGTTGGGAGGGCTCGGCCTACGAGCTGAACGAACTGCAGGTTCAGAAAAGCACTGCTAGAATGGTGGAATACAGGGTAACGGTTGTAACACAGAACGCTGGGAAATTAGGAACCTCAGCCTTCCAATCACATGGCGTCTGGATGGACCATGTGGGCAAGGAGGCACTCGGCATATGTGGCGCCAGAGCCAGGCTGGTGGACAGAAATGGCTGTGGTCTGTACCTGCAGGATGAGGGTCTGCATGTTCCGCTGGTGCAGCTGGGCACTCTCCTCGTTCTGTCTCACTGCTGGTTTTCTCCTGCTGCCTTTAGAATCTAAAATAGAACATAAAAGTGAGGGGAGACCTTTACTTAGCTTTTCTTCCTGCTATTCAAGCATCAGCATTACCTTTGCAGAGGAGTTTGGTTTCCTTTATCTGTAAGGGAAGGAAAGGAAGAAAAAGGACAATGTACAATAACTACAGTGCTAAATTGTTCAAAGAGGAATCTCTTAAGGGAACTCTGCTAGGATATCATCTGGATAGTAATATTCATCTTTCTGAAGAATACACTACTCAGTTTTCCTTTGGAGTTGTCTATTTTCTTTGTAAAATCTTATTTAATTAGAAAGGGTAATGAATAAAAATACTAAATCCAAACATTTTAGTTATAATGTATAACCCAATTTTCAATGGACAAGATGATTTTAAAAATAAGCAACACTAAAATTGCACTAAACATAATTTAATTCTTTAGATAATTCAAGCAGCTTATTTAGGGACTTCCCTGGTGGTCCAGTGGGTAAGATTCCACGCTCCCAATGCAGGAGGACCGGGTTCAATCCCTGGTCAGGGAACTAGATCACAAGTGCATGCCGCAACTAAGAAGCCTGAATGCCACAACTAAAGATCCTGCATACCGCAACTAAACATGCCACAATGAAGATCCTGCGTGCTGCAACTAAGATCCGGCACAGCCAAAATAAATAAACATTAAAAAAAAAAAAAGAAGCTTATTTATATTTTTCTTTTTTTAAATTGAGGTATAGTTAATTTACAACATTAGTTTCAGGTGTACAACACAATGATTCAAATTTTTTACAGATTATACTCCATTTATGGTTATTATGAAGTATTGGCTATATTCCCTGTGCTGTACAATACAGCCCTGTAGCTTATTTATTTTATACATAGTGGTTGGTACCTGTTAATCCCCTCCCCCTACCTCCCCTCTCCTCCCTTCCCTCTCCCGACTGGTAACCACTAGTTTGTTCTCTGTATCTGTGAGTCGGTTTCTGTTTTGTTATTTTCACTAGTTTGCTTTATTTTTTAGCTTCCACATATAAGTAATAAGATATGATATTTGTCTTTCTCTGTCTGACTTATTTCACTTAGCATAATGCCCTCTAAATCCATCCATGTTGCTGAAAATGGCCAAGACTTCATTCCTGTTTATGGCTGAGTAGTATTCCATTGTGTATATATATACACCACATCTTCTTTATCCATTCATCTACTGATGAACACTTGGGTTGCTTCCATATCTTGGCCATTATAAATAATATTGCTGTGAACATTGGGATGCACATATATTTTCAAATTAAAGTTTTCATTTTCTTTGTAAGAGAGTAGATCTTAAAACCTCCCATCACACACAAAAAAACAACTTGTAACCACATGCGTAGTGATGCATGTTAGCTACACTTGCTGTGGTGAACATTTTGTAATATATACAAATATCAAATTACTATGTTGTACACTTGAAACTAATGTTATATGTCAATTATATCTCAACTAAAAAAAAAAGAAAAAGAAATAAAATTGGAATTTCCATTAAAAAAAGAGAGAGAAGGATAAGGAGACTGAGGCTTAGAGAGGCTAATTAATAGTCTGTGATTCCAGAAGTTGTCCACATCTGTTTTACGACTTATCACCATAAGCATATGTTAATTATATATTTTTTATTCTACTTCATTAAAACATCATGGAAAGGTTTAAAAAAAAAGGCACCTCAGTAAGACCTTAGACCCCAGAGGCATCATTATGAACATTCATTATCACTGTATGGTATGAAAAAGTTTCTAGTTATTTGTACTGTGCTTTTTAATTCTGCATCAATAAGAATTTCTAATAATGTGGTTAGTACCTGCTCTGCAAGCTGAAGATTCACTCTGTTCACTTACTTCTACAGCTTGGATAGTCTTTTGGAAAATGCTGACCTGAAGAATCAAAAAAAAAAGAGAAAAAAAAGGTACAGAAATAGCCTTCTTACAAATGTAATATTTCACTTTTTAGCTTTAGTTCTGCAGGTTAAACATTATTCATAAATTAAATTGGTCAAAATTGATACAATCATATGAGGATGTCATGCATATGAGAGACCAAAGTGGACAAAGTAACAAATTGGGTAAAACCCAGTGTTTTGAATACAAATTGGATAAAACCAGTGTTGATGATATAAATGACAAAATAAAACTTCAGGGTTATTTGGCAATATCGGCCAAAAAAAAAAAAAAAAGCAGCCTTTGACAAGGTCCTTTAGGAAAGTAACAGAAACACAGAAGTGTGCGTATATAGATATGTATAAAAATTGCTCATTGAAGAACTGCTTACAGAAGTGAAAGAATGGAAATCTCAAATACACAAATATTTCTATATGAATGGAAAAGAGCTTTATCTCTGGGGTACAGAATTATGGGAGACTGCCACTTTTATATTAGATTCCTGAAATATGTGTGTTATTTTAACAAAGACCATGCATGAATTTTGTCATCAGTATAAACAGAGATTTAAAAAGAAATCAGTACTGAAACTTTTTCCCACACTAAGTCCGCTCCTGCTGTTCCCTCTAATCTCATCCAAAACATCTCCTCTGAGCCTTAGGTTTCCAAATGGTGAAACAGGGTAAACAATGTTACTTCTAAGGTTTTTGAAAAAAAAAGGAAAAAAATCACAAAGCTCTTTGTAATTAGAGAAAATGCTTTGAAAACTTAGGAAAATGTGAGACCACCATAGCTAATTCTCCTTCTAGCCTCTTTAACAAGTACCAAAATTATTCTGATTATGGACCCCAGCTTGTGTTTTGTAAAAGCCATGCCCACCCTGCTATACAAAGGATTACTTACTTTGTTAGGAGGCTCCTTATAAAAATAGGTCACTTCTCCAGTGTCTGCTCCCACAAGAGCCAAGAGATTCTGAATCTTTTTCTTGTCTTCTAGCTCCCTGCAATTCTCATAGAGAATAAGCAAACAGTGTCCAGAGTAAGTAAATTTTTGTTTAAAGGCTCTCCCTTTTTTTTTTTTTTTTTTGGTGATGCCACTTGGCATGCAGGATCTTTATTTCTCCGACCAGAGATCGAACCCATGCTCCCTGCAATGGAAGCGTGGAATCTTAACCACTGGACTGCCAGGGAAGTCCCTCACTTATTTTTAAAACAATGATAACCTCAAGTTAAAATTAAATAGGATTAACCCTCCTACACTGTTGGTGGGAATGTAAATTGGTGTAGCCACTATGGAGATCAGTATGGGGGTTCCTTAAAAAACTAAAAATAGAATTACCATATGATCCAGCAATCCCACTCCTGGGCATATATCTGGAAAAGATGAAAACTATCTAATTTGAAAAGATACATGCACCCCAGTGTTCACAGCAGCACTATTTATTGAATATAATAGCCAAGACGTGGAAGCAACCTAAGTGTCCATCAACAGAGGAATGGATAAAGAAGATGTGGTACATATATATACACACACACAAACACACACACACACAATGGAATATTACTCAGCCATAAAAAGAATGAAATAATGCCATTTGCAGCAACATGGATGGACCTAGAGATTATCATACTAAGTGAAGTGAGTCAGACAGAGAAAGACAAATATCATACGACATCACTTATATGTGGAATCTAAAAAATTATACAAATGAACTTATTTACAAAACAGAAATAGACTCATAGACATAGAAAACAGACTTACAGTTACCAAAGGGGAAGCAGTGGAGAGATAAATTAGGAGTTTGGGATTAACAGATACACACCACTATATATAAAATAGATAACCAACAAGGACCTACTGTATAGCACGGGGAACTCTACTCAGTATTCTATAATAACTTATATAAGAATTTGAAAATTAGATGTATATGTATACATACATACATACATATAGATATACATATGTATAACTGAACCACTTTTCTGTACACCTGAAACACTGTCAATGAACTATACATCAATTTTAAAAAAAGTCAGGGCTTCCCTGGTGGCGCAGTGGTTAAGAATCGCCTGCCAATGCAGTGGACACAGGTTCAAGCCCTGGTCCGGGAAGATCCCACATGCCGCGGAGCAACTAAGCCCGTGAGCCACAACTACTGAGCCTGCACTCTAGAGCCTGCAAGCCACAACTACTGAGCCCACGAGCCTAGAGCCCATGCACCACAAATACTGAGCCTGTGCTCTAGAGCTTGCAAGTCACAACTACTGAGCTTGCGAGCCTAGAGCCCATTCTCTGCAACAAGAGAAGCCACCGCAATGAGAAGCCCACGCACCGCAACGAAGAGTAGCCCCCACTCGCCGCAACTAGAGAAAAGCCCACACGCAGCAACAAAGACCCAATGCTGCCAAAAATAAATTTAAAAAAAGAAAGGGTCAACAGAGAAGAGTCAGCATCTGCAACAGGCTCCAAAAAATTAATTACCTAAATTAAATTAAATAGGATTTATCTAGACCTTACCTCTAATTTTTTTTTGAATTTTATTTTATTTTTTTATACAGCAGGTTCTTATTAGTTGTCTTTTTTTTTTTTGCATTTGAACATGTAGTTTAGGTATTTCTTTACACTTTGTGAGCCTTAATATTATGTAGTGTCAGGTGTATCAGATTATTTAGACGATCATCAGTCTGTCTTTTTTTTTTTTTCTTTGTGGTACGCGGGCCTCTCACTGTTGTGGCCTCTCCCGCTGCGGAGCACAGGCTCTGGACGCGCAGGCTCAGCGGCCATGGCTCACGGGCCCAGCCGCTCTGTGGCATGTGGGATCTTCCCGGACCAGGGCACGAACCCGTGTCCCCTGCATCGGCAGGCAGACTCTCAACCACTGCGCCACCAGGGAAGCCCCAGTTATCTATTTTATACATATTAGTGTATATAGGTCAATCCCATGGCAGTGACTGAGGCCTGCTGTAACTGAATCACAGTTCAAATTCTGCCCACTCAGACTTCCCTTACTCCCTCACAGGTGGTTTATTCCTGAGAGCACTCCCCAACACACCTCCTGCAAGCAAATCTCCATTGCAGAGTTTGTTTTCCAGGGAACCCAACCAAAGACAGTTGATACCAGAAATGGACCAAAGAAGCAAATTTTAAAATGACATTTCAGAGCCTGTGATACGATGTGTTACAGAACACAGTGTTCTTAGGAGCAAGACAGATGAGTGGTCAACAGGGTATAGCTTAAACAATTAAATAAAATTAAAGATGGGGGGGGGACTTCCCTGGCCGTCCAGTGGTTAAGACTCCGCACTTCCACGGCAGGGGGCATGGGTTCCATCCCTGGTTGGGGAACTAAGATCCCACATGCTGCGCGGCACAGCCAAGAAAGAAAAAAAAAAAATGGGGGGGAGCTGGGGGCTGTATATTCTATACAAACTCACAATCTCTGACCCATTTTCCATACCTCTGCTAGTTTTAAGACCCAGAGACTGTTACCTAAAGGAGAAGCTGTATCTCCCAGGAAGTAAGACCTGGTGATACCACAGCAAGTGTACATTGTAATGATTCCCTCATTACCTCCAAGGGCTTAAGCCATTTATTCAAGTAATTGTACACTGTGGGAAAGGAAATACCCAGACACTTCAAGGATTGCTGGATACAGAGTCTGAGCTGACTCTGACACCTGGTGACGTGAGCATTATCTAGGGCATTTGGGAACCACGCAATAAATGGAATTTTGGTCCAGGTCCAGCTCAAGCTCAAAGTGGGTCCACTGGATCCAGACCCAGTCAGTGGTCATCTCCCCCATCTCCAAATGTATAACTGGAATGGACATAATTGGTAGTTGGTAAAGCCTCCAAATTGCTTTCTTGGTTTCTGTGCTAAAGCAAGTGGCAGCCTCTGAAACTGCCCCACCCTACCCCAGCCACGATGGCAAATAAAGACCTAAAGGATGCAGGGGTGGAGGTCCCCATCAAATCCCCATCAATTCACAAGTATGACTCATGCAAAACCACACAGTAACAGTGGGCTACTACCAAGTAGGTCCAATTCCGGTGACTGTGCCAGATGTGGCAGTATTTTTGCTAGAGCAAATTAACTTGGTTTTAGGTACACAGCATGTGGCTACTGATTAAGCAAATGTATTCCTTCCCACTCGTAACAGGACCAG